AAATATTAAATTGTCAAGTTTGATTTAAGAAAGTACGATGCCCGCGAGCAAAACTTGTACTGAAAATTTTTACTCTACATAAACTACATTTTTTTTCATGCTCGGGTATTCGCAAACAATTTGTTTAATTAATCATGATTGAATTAACGATGAAAGAAGTTGTCAGATCGTATTAAATATTTTTAGAACAGCAGAAAGATTTAATGATTGAGTATATGAGTAAATACCGAAATTTGTCGATAAATTTAAATACTACACGTAGAGAAAAAAACAGTACGTGCAGAAAAAACTAGGAATGTGAGTAACTGTTAATCAAGTGAACGTACTCAGTGGGTTAGACCAGCACAAAAATGAATAAGAGAAAAATGTAATAAATAACTGAGCTGGATAAGCCTTACTACTTTACACAATATTGCAATGAATGAATCATCCAATTTTAATTTTTTTTTCTTTTCCTTTATTAAACCACTTCGTAAATAGAAGTCCAAAAAGTCTTGTGTAATGATCTAAAGTATTTATAATAAATACACGGTAACTTGATATTAAAAACTAAATAGATATTCGGTGATTGTAATTGTTATAATGTCAACATAAATTTTGTCCAATAATATAAAGCACTTGAGTAAATAAAATTCATAAATATCCGATAATTTTATTTAAGTCTCCATTATATTTTATAAAAAATATCATTTACTTCTTTAATAAAAATACAGATCGTATAACCTAGAAGCTCCACGCTAACTTACCAATTTAAATAATGCATCACATTTTATATCGTCACCCTAACTTTCCCTTTGATTCATTCGTAATAAATTCGTCTAAGTGTTTAAAACTAAGTTATTGAAATACAAAGCTAAATTAATATATTATCTATTTAAGAATTTTATTTAATTATTTATTTATCTTTATGCTTCTTTATCAAAATATTTATTAATAATACATAACGTAGCATCTATTGATATTACGAAATATCTGAACTTAAGACTGCATCATTAATAAATACCGTTCGTTTTTACTTCTCAGCTTTAAATTTGATTCGATTTCGCTAATTGAATGCCGTTAAGGTCAACGATACTGAAATGCAAGAGTGCACCTGTTTCTCGCTTTATTATCACTTCTTCGTCTATTAAATTGAGACAAATTCGAATATAATATTAAATGAATTGATGAGTTTGAAATCTTTTTAATCTATCCGAATTAGTTATAATAACTTTTATAATACTAAAGTATCTCACTATCTGGAATAAAATATGTATTTTTCATTTATTTAATTAATTGATTATAATTAATTTTTTATGGTGTTTTATTTACTATTTATTTTTATATCAATAAATACGCGATATTGTTATCAATATTTTTAAAATCCGACGTTCAATTTAATTTTCTATTTACAATTTAATTTTCATAGTTTTAAAACTTTAATTAGGCCTAAAATCTAACTTTTTAAAACTGCATAATGTATTGAGATTTGTTACAAAAGGAATAAAATATTACTTATAATTTTCATAAAATTTTGTGTTACTAAAAATGCTACTTGAGTATATGTAAGCTAAAATTCATATTTCTAAATAATGAAAACCAATTAAGTTTCTATTCTTTAATTTTATTTTATAGTTACCGTATCGGAATCGCATTATTATGCAACATCGACACTCTATACTTGCGTAGTGACCAAAAACAGAAAAAGGATCGATTACGAGTCTTTGCTTCATAATAAATTCTCTTATCGTAAAGTGGATATATATATATATATATATATATATATATATATACGGATACGTCGTATGTCGACTACACTACGATCTTGTAGTCAATATGCTTCTCTCAATAATTTGTGCTCTTCGCACATTCTGCTATTTAATATGACAAACTTATAGTGTGTAGACGAATTCGTTTCCTTTTTATCTTTCCTATGGGCTAAAATTATATTTTGACTTTACAGAGAGAAGAAACGAAGTGATGAACCGTCAACATCATGGTTATGTTTTGGAACTATAATAAGCGTGGCCCCTTATAATGAAAAAGAAAAATAAGAAGCAAAAGGACATAATTCACATCGCATAAAACTTAACTGCGAATATATAGAACTTCTAAAAGAACTTATTGTTTTTTCGAAAATACACTTAAAACGAAAACGGTAAGGAAATAATTGATATTTACAAGGTGCACTTCGTTTATTTATTTAAAATTCGACCCAATTTTAGTATCTCGCGACGTATTTGAAAATTATAAAATCCTTAAACAGTTAAATGGTCCAACAAATACAATCACCAGAAATTCGTATTCTTCGTTTCGTCTCGAATTTCCATAACTCATTCATTACCTTTAGTTTTTGAGTAGGCGAAGCCACAATAAAATAATGCACAATCTGCAAACTCGCCGCAGCAAGTGGAATCTCGTTGCTGCACGAAAATGTGCACACCTTCAATACACTTATAGAGTTCGCGTATGAGCGCATGTGCACACCCATACGTGTTTGTTGGGATGCCCGATATTGCAGAGAAAGCGAAGAACGCACACACGGAACTAGAGCGACCACCTCTGCTGATATTCACACTTGATCGGATTTTTAGTTTTCGAGAATTAGAGCGATTACTGACTATGGAATAAAGAGTCGACGAGAATTAAGAAGTGGGCAACTACTTTTATAACTGATTGCTGAAAATCGATATGATCCGTTATTACTACTTAATTGGTCATTTCTTTATCTGCGCAACTTTTGACTACCTGAGCCATCTTTTCATTTAAAAGTAAATAACTGTAATTACACAATTATTTTTAAAGTAGGTGATTATTTATGAATGTCTTTATTTCCTCACATTGATGAGATAATTATGATTATTGTCATTATTAAATGAGATTTTAATATCTTTTTGAAAGCGTATTATCTCGGATAATTTTACGAAGAATACAATATTCTATTTAAAATACAAGTAATTATAGATGATTCTTTGCAAAAGTGTAACGGTATATCAGTTTTTTATAAATTAAAAAATTATTCTTATACATTAAATAAGAAGCTGCACAAAATAAAATTATAATACAAAATACTAGCAAGAAAAATGGCTAATCAAATAATCATAATTGCCTGCTTTTTCCGTGATAGATTATGTTTACAAAATCAGTAACTTTACATTAGTTACTTTCTTCTTCAAAGCATATATGCAAAGAAAACTATATCGGACACAATTTTAATTGTTGTATGACATTATGTCCTCTATTGGCAATACAATACTTTTAAAAGAAAAATTAAAAATTGTATTAAATAAGGATATTCGTCATAAACTATAAGCAACGTAATGTAATATTTGAAAAAATGTACATGGAATAATTTCAGATTACTATAATGTTTAAAGAAGTTATACATGCTTTTTGCGTTTTTTGTTCTCAAAAATATATTATACATCTATTATAAAGCATATGCGTAATAAATTTACAAACGTAAAGGGCCAATGTCATACAGCAAAACATAAAAATTTATCTATAAATAAAAAATTAATTCTGATTAATTCTTGTGAATATAATTGTTCACATCAATTTATCGATCCTTTATTGCTAATTCTTTGCAGGAATAAAAAAGAATTGCACCGATACGGAAATTCAAAAATTAAATGATACATCGAATTTCGAAAGAAACTGTAAGCTAATAGTATAATTTTATTTTATTTATATCGAAATTTTATTTTAATCCCTTGCTCTGTCTCTCTACTCCTCGTATTGGATTCGCTAGTGTGCGTGTTGTCTAGCAAAGCTTGAATGTTCTGATCAATAAACGCGCTTGACTCTCTCCTTTTCACTCTCTTTCGCCCTTGTCTATAGGACTCAACTGAATTTGCTTCATGTTCATTTTTCCTTTAGTCTTTCTGTATCTACTACCCGTAAAACCTGATTTTTCGTTTTCAATCAATTTCCGTCTAAAGATGATTGCGCTTACATATATTTATTATATAAATTCTATCAATCCTTGTAAGGTGATTAATCCAACAGAAATCAAAATTCTATTACGGAAGAAATTTTGTTATTCCTCTATTAATTTGATTTTTTCTAACTTATACAATATTATCAACCGAAAATTTATCAAAATATATTAATCTAAAAACTAAAAAAATTCCTTTCCTAGCATTATATAAGACTGTTAAAACTGAAGGTAAAATAATTTCAACCAAAATTTTAAATTGAAAATTTCCAAATAATCAAGAATTTAAACATATCCATCCAGAAAATTTTTAAACTTTAAAAAAAAATGAAGAGTTTTATTGATATTAGTACAAGACATAAAATTCAACGTTTATTAAATATTTCAAATATTTTGGTGTTTCATTATTATAAAATTTTCTGTAAATGATAAATGATATTTTTTATCGCTCTTATAATATTACTAGTTATTCATATTTATAAATTTTATTTTCATTAGTTGATGCAATTATATTTATATAACAATTACCTGAAATCAAGTTATATTGTGATATTCTATTGTATTATTTCTAATCTAAACGACATTCAAATAATAAATTTATTTATCTATAATTTTATATATATGATTATTTAAACTTTGAAAAATGGACTTTTTTAAACTTGTTAAAAAATAATAAAGTGTAATTGAAAGTATGCAATATTTATATATAATATATAATATATAATATTTTTTTATCAAATTGCTGTTGTATAAAACCATATTATTAGTTTCATTATTCTTTTATTTACTAAGCTTACATTCTGTTTAATTATTATTTCCATCGAAAAATTAATTTCAAGAAGAATTTCAATTTGCTATAATAATCTTTGCAACTGAAAAATGTAATTTATTATATAACATTTTCTTTAACTTTTTACTCTTATAAGAAAAGTAATGATTATTGAATGATTATTTAAATATTACTTAAAAAAATAATAATAATAACAAATGTATAGATAAAAATTTATTTTTAGTTATTTAATATACCCTTCTTTAAAATTCTTGGAAATCAAATAAATTAATTATAAAGAAACAGCAAACTTACAAGTGGTAGTCGATTTCGATTTTTATTTCGCCAAGCATTTAATCGAGATGATGGATCTCCAGGAGGAATTTTTACTACGACATTGGAACAATCGGGTAGTCTTGGGGGTAAGCTTTGAATACTGTATAATATGGAAAAATAATTATTATTTCGATAGATTAATTTTCATTATTTTAAGCCGAATAATCATTTAACTTACCTTGAATCCGATGAAAGCAACGTATGATTGATTTCAAGTAATTTTGATTGCTCACATTGTCTTATAACACTGTCTGCTAATTCAATACCTATAATATAAATTGATTTGTCAACTATATAATTAACAGAAAATTATTTAATAAGCATTGCAACACACTTTACACAATTTATTATTTAAAATAAAATATTTATATTCTATTCAATGAAAATTTTAATAAAAGTTCAATAATCGTTTAATAAAAGTCATTAAAATTGATTTTCTATGCGAATAGAAAACTATATGTTTTATTATTGCTATTAACTGTTGGTGTAATAATTTTAAAAATTTACAAGATTATTTTTCTTCCTTCTATTATTCTACATAATATTCTTAATGGTTTTTGTTTCTATTAATAGGAAAAGCGTACGTGATAAAGCAACTTTTATTTTAACTATTAGTACGATGAAAAAATTTGAATTTTTTTTATTTACATAAAATAAAAGAAAATAATTATTTAATTACATTTACAGTTTATAGTGATCCTTTTGGTATTTCAATTTATACAGAGTTTATTAAATTTTAAATGTAATATACTAATATTATTTAGTTATACTTTTGTAATACGTTTAAGACAAAACGCTTCTTAATCTTTATAATCGTGTGAATTGAAAAGCACACAATAGCATTTGATTTAAATAAATACAGATATTCGAAAATTAAAGATGTCAAATATAATTACTAAGTAAAGTTGCTCTCTGACTTTGCTAACATTCAATTTTCTAACTCTCTCCCTCCTTTCTCTATATTTTCCTTAAGTTCTATAGATACCTTCCCCTGACATCCTTTCATCTTTATCTCGGGCTTTCTCCAGATCTTTCTCTTACTACAAGTGACGTTTCTTATAATATGGCATGCGCCATCATAGAAGTACCCAATCTACGAGTTATTTATTCTTATTTAGATCATAATAAAATATAATATACATAACACATATATAATTCCTCAATTAAGTTCTTTTATGACTCAGCTTGAAACTTATTAATAACGAGAATAAATTAATTTAATGTACATCTTACTTTTTATATTTACAATATGTAGTGGGATAATTTTATTTCATTATAATCATTCATTATAATCTGAAATCTATAATAAATGAGATAACAAGCAATAAATATAAATTTTAATGTAATAAATATAATAATAAGCGATTTAAAATAGCAAAAACTAAAATAGTAATTTGAATTTTAACGTAGTGTATGTATAAGTATAACTGTATAAATAAGTATATTTCTAATATATATCTGAGAAACTGCATATATTAAAAGTAAATAGTAAGGACTATGATATGGTCTTATGCTTTATGACTTTAATGACTATCTTCTTTAGTTAAATAAGAAGAGTTGCAGTATTATGAATAGGCTTAATTTTTTTTTCTGCATTTTAGTGGCACAATTAAGTTGAAGATCATAATTAAGATAATTAAGAGAAGAATGGTAAGCAAGTGTGATATTCATTGCACTTTGTCTATACTTTTAAAATCGTTTCTATGCTAAAAGTTCTGAAACAATATGAAAATTACTTAAAAATTAAAAACTTTGAAATAATTTTATAACTTATTGGCCAGCATTAATATTAAAAAATATTTCCTACAAAATGCATCACTTCTAGGTGAATAATGAGTAAAAGGCAAGTTACCTCTTTCATAATTCTTCTGTATAAGGGCGAGGTTATGATTGAGATCGGCTGAATCTTCGGTGTTAAACAAATCGGAAGCCAATTGCTCCTGTACGAGTATCGTCTCCTGCGTGAGCTCTCGAACTTTATCAAGAAGCTCTTCATAATTGGATACTGGAAGAGTCATCGCTCGAAATTTCTTTCTTCAATTTTGTAACCTCCATCCACTTACGCCTCACTCTGGATCGAATCTCCATTCGACCTTGCTACTGCAATGTTAAAAATAAATAAATACTCTCCTTATTTTAGTTTAAAAAGTATTATACTCCTATGCGTATTTTGCAATGTCGGTAAATGGTATTTAAATATTTTCGTTCTCTTTGCACGCGATGGAATTGTAAAATAGCTATAAACTAAATGTATACGCGAAGGATATATTTATAAATAGACTTGAGTAAAAAAAAAAAACCAAAAGTTACTTAAATGCAGAGGACAAATTACACACAAAAACGATGTTTGAACCTTTTGAGTATGAAAAAATAGACAAAGCACGAGTAAAAAAAGATTTTAAAAAAACTGTTAGTATTATCGTAGATCTTTGCTTAAAGATTATATGTCAAAAAACAGGAGTGATGGCTGAAGGGCTGTTGCGTGAGAACAAATCCAAAGTTAGAGTAACTAAGATGGATACGTATAAATTAAAAATCCACAACGCTTGTGTATACTTCTACTCGTGTCCTCCCCTTGGACTTGCCGACGAAACACCCATGTTACGTTTTTATACCCATGACACAATGAAAAATC